AAGCTGTTAAAAGCCCCTACTATTTTTAAAAATAGGCCTAATGTCAGGAGCCTCTTAGTTCTACATGTATTCACATTATATGGACAATGTTTCCACCTGGTAAAACTAGAGGCTGCACGGAACTCAGGCTACAATACGACCATTCTGTTCTGCTCTAACGATTCAATTGATAGATTCTACATCAAAACAATTAGCTTTTATTGTTTCCAATGATAACGTCATTTTAAGAGAAGGAATGCAAACCTGTTTTCAAATGTAAGGTTTTGAATGTGTTTGACATTTCTCAGTAGTGACACCCTCAGACACCCAATTCCATTCATGCTATGCCTTCAGTGGTAACTCAGATGTTAAGGGGGATGAAGCTTTTCCTCCCAAATCAGATATGCTTTGTTTTTTCAACAAAGGTATACATTTCCTGCATAATATATGTTTCTCACAATTGTTTTTTTGTAAGCTGCACACAGGTGATACTGAGTCTTCTCGAGTAATAGATTACACCATGCTTAAATAGACTCCTAAGTTATTATTTCATATGAGACATATGTAAGAAAAGGGAGGGAAGAGTCAATTATATTGAGTAATTGATTTTATATTGGAACATTTATTTCTCAAACCTGTTTTATGGAATTATATTTATGGAATTATATTTCTGATAAACTAATCTTTTATCAAACGGTAAATGGTGAATTAATATAACATTTAGAATCATTGAGAAGGGGTGATATCCACAGGGACTAGCTCACCTTTAAATTACAATAACATTTCTCTGCTTTGGACTGATGAGTATATGATTATTGCATGTTAAATGACTAACACAAACCTTACATTTATAATGTGCATGGGTCAGGAAGGCTCCCAAATAATTCTGAGGGGCCTATCCTATTTTTGTAATTAAATGATAATGTGCTAATCCATTACTTTGAGTTGTCTGCACTCAGGAAAACATCCCTATCAAGTGTTAACCCAATAACTAGGATAGTTCTGGAGGGTCAGAGAGGGTCAGAGAGGGTCAGAGAGAGAGGGTCACACTCTCCGGCTGCAGAGGGCACCCCCAGCCACGGGCAAGGAGGCACGAGGTCGTTCGAGATGAGAGGATTCTAATCTTCAACTATCTGAGGAGATGGGATGCTTCTTCACCATTCTGCTCGGTGGGCTCAGGCAGACAACCCTGCGGGACGAGCGAGGACTTCAGAGGCTTCATACAAGGTTCCTTGTTTCTTGGGGGAGCAGATATCTTCCTAACCTCTCCCATCACGGGGGGAGACCTGGATGCGCCACTTGGAATACGCAGTTGCACTGCTCTCAAGCAGATAGCAGAAGGAATGCAGGCAGATGAGCCTCCATTTCACTGGGAGGGATCAACTACAGTGCTCACTGAATGAGCCACACAAAAGCAGAGCAATTGGGGGGGTTGAAATATGGCGCTCTGATGACGAAGAGTTTGAGCCAATCAGCACCTCAGTGCTAATCTATAGTATCAGGATGCCTTTACACACCAGACACTCGTTGTCATAAAGAGAGGAGGAGAACGAGTCAGAAAGACTGAAGGACACGTTCTTCCAGCTCTCGTACAAAGATGAACTTTGCATTGATTTTATATCTTGGATGTTTACAGATGTACAATTAATGACTGTCTTTATATTTCCAATGACCAGACATGTGTTGAATAGTGGTGATTAATATATTTTTGCCGGATCAGATTACACTTTCGCACTAAACAAAATTAATTAATTAATATTTTCAGATGATAAAGTATTGAATAATAAGATATTTCTACTATTATCACAGATAATGTTAATATCCTTTATCGTCCAGCAATCAGGCTTAACAACACTACTCTTTAATGTATTATCCATGCACAGAAATACCTACAATGATGTTTCAAGTACTGGATTCATTTCAGTTTTGGCCCAAAACAAATATTTATAATATTTCATATAACAATTATGTAGCATATTTGATCCTCAAATTAGAGAAGTATAAATTAAAGAAATTGATATTCTATATTCAACATTAGATAAACACAGAAGAATCCTTTCCAAGTACCATAAGTAGCTCAGGTAAGTATGGCTAATAGGAATAATTGATAGACTTAATTTGGTACAGATCAGTGGTAGCATTTACAAATGTAATAATTCAAGTTTTAAGAATGTTTAATCCTTCCTTTCCAGGTTTTTACAAAAGTCTTTGAATATTTGCCTAACTTTTCCTTTTCAGATTTTGAACAATGTACTTGACTAAAATGAATGTATTGATTTGACTAAGTGCCTTACTCTTGACTAAAGCGTATTTAAGTAGACGTAAAAGTAATCCTAAAATTGAGGACACTGCACTTTTGCAGATTACAGATTGATCAAATCACCATTGTGAATTCTATACTCTGACTGTGAATTTTTAGCTGGATCTCTTACGATCCTGAGTTTTAAAATGCTTTTGACTAGTGATTGCCTTGAAGTAAATCTTTAAAGCGGCAAGCTGGTTTTGATTTTATAGTTTGATGAATGAAATTAACTAATGGTAAATGATAAAAGATATTAGTTTAAAACAAATATTTTTGCTATTGTGCACCTGTGTTTTATGTGTGTTCATTATTATGCTTTTGACAAAGGATGATCCAAACACTGATGAGAGATGATTTTTCTATTATGAGGCTGTATCAATCATTGTGATTGAATGTTTCAATCTTAATGTGATTGTTATTGATGTAATTGATGTTGTGTAAGTCCACACTCAAATCTGAAGATTCCCATTGATTTAAGTATTGAACTAAATATTATTAGACTAAGGGTTTTAGATTATCAAAATTGATAAAAAGAAAGAAACTGTTGTGGAATATTTTCCAAGGCCCATAACTTTGACCCAGTTTATCAGTTCAAACTGTCCTGACTGAGCACACGCACGAGGTGTTATGATTCTATGTTCCTGCCTGTTGACGTCAGCTGATAGAGGTGTTATGATTTTATCTTGTTATGCAGCAGTTTGATGATGCTCTCAGAACTAGTTAAATACATGGGTCTGAGGTAGAGTTCTTTAGAATTGACGTGGCAACCCACCCGTGCAGTCTCACCGTGACTGCTGTGATTTGTGATGTGAACTCTCCGGCCGTAACTCCAAATAAACCTCCAGTGTTTGACATCAAAAGCTCCTGCTCCACCGTGTCTCCTTCCTGAGTCGGTGACTCCCACTGCATTGCTACACAGAAGTTTCACTTACAGATAGGTTGAACTAGATTCGTAGTATTCCCCCCCAGGTTAGCCGCTCAGCATAAGTTACCATGGAGATCTAGCCTACTAAAAAGAGAACCAGCTTCGTAGGACCGGAAACCCCGATTTTTCCCAGAAGTTAGCCGGCTAAGCGAAAATCCTGCTTCGTAGTACACCCCCTAGGTCTCAGTAGAGGTAGGAGTGGATCCCAGTGAAGCCAAACCCATGCAGTGTGCTTCATAGTTGTTCAGTCATTATACAAATTAAGTAAAAGACACAAATAGACATATTTTCAATCTTTCTCTTGTTACTGTGCTGTACATCCTCCTTCCTGCCGTGCCATAAATTCAGGTCTGCTCTGATTGGTTAGCTGGCCGTCTCTGTTGTGACTATGTGTTTGTTCATCTGTATTCACTGTGACAGGGTTGCACTACAACATCTCATTGTATATGTTTGTATAATGACAATAAAGGCTTTCTATTCTATCTATTCTTCCTACCAGAAGCTTTTACAGCAGAATTTAGACTGAGGCCTCAATCCTCTTCCATACTCCATGTTAACATGTCGTAGAAAATGACAGAACATTATCAGAAGAGGAGAATTGTATTATTTGACCTATAACTTCACTACAGCTATGGATACACAGTGATGATCTGATCTGGCTGTGGAAGACGTTATGGCGCTGGATTATGATGGGAACTAGAAGGAAAGCTATTGGTTCCTATCTGACTTTGAAGAGGAAGCCTGATGGAGTGTCTGCAATTTAAAACAAGTCTCGCCTGAACAGGGACTTGAACCCTGGACCCTCAGATTAAAAGTCTGATGCTCTACCGACTGAGCTATCCAGGCTCTGATAGCCCAAATCTATAACAAAGAATAAAACCTTGCTATTGTTTAGTGGTCTCAAGTCCTCTACTACTGCTGGGGGTGATTGTGATTCTTCTTATAGCCTGGCTGCAAACTGGGCCATGTTTAAGTGGGATTCAATCCAGGACTTTGGTGTACGAGCCTCACAGATTGAAGACAGCTCATCTTGCTGGAACGAAGCGAGAACAGGTCCTTATTTTTGATTGAAGCTGCGTTGTAGTGCAAGCGTTTTTAGGATTGGAGTCATGTCAAATATGCAGGGAGGCCCTTATTGAGACATCTCAAAAAGTCAAAAACGTTGCATGAAACACAACAAAATTGTAAAAAGATCATACTGCACTGGTGCACTTTACCTTTCTACTTCTTCTACTACCTGTTTATATCTGCACACACTACAGTATACATACGTTTGATCATGTTTTATATTTCCGATATATACACATTTATAATGTTACTCTGTCCATATTACTAGCATCTTTTGCTTTCATAAATGTTGTAGTAGCATTGGTAAAGAGAGCCTGGGAACAATGACTATAAGGACCACTCCATGGTAATGGAGCACATGACTAACACAGACCAGGTCTTGGAATAGAGATTTGAAAAGGCATGTTATGAAATACAGCTTTATTCTGAGCTCAGTAGAATACCAACAGGAACTGACTGCAGCAAACCAACAACCTCTGGGTTCCAGGTTCCCCTCAACAAGAACACCAGTTTGTTTTGGCTTTAAAATTAAAGTAGTTAGCCTTATTTTTAACTAATGTACATGCAGGATTCATTCTTTCTTTGTGTGAGTGTCTCCATGGTTGGTTGCACTTATTGTAAATTGCTTTGTATAAATACTTCAGATAAATGAAATGTAATTCAATTCTGCTTTCAAACAAAAACAACATCAGTGTTGACATGTAACACAGTCACAAAGCCACTGACCTCCTCCCTGTATGGCCTCCGTCAGCAGCCTGTACAGGTGCAGTGGTTTGCAAACGCGTTTCTGATGACACAAAGCAACACAACACAAGACATAGGGCTCAGTAAAACACACACAGAGATCATTATCAAAGCTCCTTACAGCTGAGCTAGTATGACCTGCAGTGAGCAGCAGAATGGCTCACCACACTACATCTGTGCCAAGGAGCTCAGAAAAAACATTTGAATACATCATTGCTATATTCTAAACTGTCAGGGAACAAATGGGTTTTACAAAGTTGAAAACACACTGTGGTACCTTTAAAGTAGACACATTTGTAGATGTTTCTAAAAGGGGAACTATGTTAATCCTCCATTTTGTATAAATGTTACGTTTATGGTGTTCATGGTCTAAGTGCAAAAACATAGGTTAAATTTGAACAATATCTCTAAAATCCCCCAAACTAGAGCGCTAAAACTCAAATGTCATCCAGTATAACGTTTGGAATCTACCCATAGACATCAAACTCTTAAATATGTTAGAGATGACACTTGAGAGTATATTGGAAAAGGTTATGTTTCATAATTGAGAACACTACAATAGAAAGATCTTAGACCTCCTACTCGATGACATCACAGGATTGAGACTTCATTGCTGTTTTAGTTTTGAGAGACAGTAGCTCAAGTTGACATATTTTGATGAAGGCCATATTGGAGTTTTTTATTTAGATGGTGCTTCCTTTAACCACGCTCAGGTCTGGAGTTCAGCAGAGGATCTCACCTTGTTGCAGTGCTTCATGAACAGTAGTTCGATATCTTTAAGAGAAGGAAGAGCTGCCTGGTGACGGTATGAAGGCTGCAGACAGAAAACACAGACTCAACTCAGAAACAAAACTTACACAAACACATCACTTCTTTATAAATGATTAGCTAGAAAGGCAGTTTTTATGGATCTCATTTACTCAGAGAAATTGACTAAATGTACCTCCAGAGTGTCCATATGTTGCATACATCTATCCCTGAGATGAGGTGTTAGGCATTCTTTTGTTTTTTTTTACAATATATATACAAAATATATTTATCGGTGTAGAAATCAACATTTATCCCTCCATTTCTTCTACCCAGTGCATTCTGGTACATATCCCATCATGTTACAGGCCAGTGATAGACTTAACACAATCTGCATCTCCTAACAACACTGGCACTATAAAAAATGCACTGATGGGTTTTTACAGCCTCACTGTGGCCCAGAATTCCTCCTTAGTCAGGACGCTCAGTGAGATTTGTATTTATTTATTATCATTATTTTTATATTCTAACCATGATTGTACCAGATTCAGAGCCTGGATAGCTCAGTCGGTAGAGCATCAGACTTTTAATCTGAGGGTCCAGGGTTCAAGTCCCTGTTCGGGCGAGAGTTTTAGAATACTACAAGCAGACGGCAACAACATGACAAAGCAATCAGAAGCTAAAAGGTCTAATTACTAACAGTTATGAATGAAACACAGTATGCACTTCACACTAACATTAATAATAAACACATTTAGAAAAGTAACTGAGGAATCAAATGGAAACCTCCTAAATATCACACAGTGAAATTTGACCTCTCTATTTAACCCGTCCTACAACGAGGAGCAGTGAGCAGCTAGTGTAAAGGACAGCAGGGCCTTGCTCAAGGGAGGAGGCCTAGGAGGTGAACTGGGACCCCTCTGAGTATGAGTTGTTTATATTTGTACACTGCATTTTGGGACAGTGGTGTACTGCTATTATTATATCTAATAGTTGGACAGTTGTGATGTAGATCATTTGTAATCCAGGTTCAGCATCCGCTGTTTGTTAACTCCAAGGACATTTTAAACTCACCTCATCTGTAAAACCCCATGAACCTTCAGATTATCTTAATTGCTGTTTTTATTTTTGCAGCAATTGTTTTGTGGAAATGTTAGTAGAACATGCCTACTGTATATCATATATATATATATATATATATATATATATATATATATATCATTTAGCACTGTATGTAACTAGACCTGATATTGGTTTCTAAATGAATTCCCCATTGTTAATGTCTGCTTGTTGTATTTAAAACAAATCTCTCCTGAACAGGGTCTTGAACCTCAGATTAAAAGTCTGATGCTCTACCGACTGAGCTAAGGACATAGTGCGTTAGTCTATGTTTGATAGACTGATGGAGTTTCAGGCTCTGCACTTTCCCTCATCACCTCATACCTCAAAGACCGCACCTACAGGGTTACTTGGAGAGGGTCGGAGTCCGACCCTTGTCAATTAACTACAGGGGTCCCTCAGGGCTCTGTTCTTGGTCCCCTCCTCTTCTCCTTGTACACAAACTCGCTCGGATCTGTCATTAGCCCGCATGGTTTTTCATACCACTGCTACGCTGACGATACCCAACTAATTCTGTCCTTTCCCCGCTCAGAGACCCAGGTCGTCGCACGCATCTCTGCTTGTCTAGCTGACATCTCTCAGTGGATGTCTGCTCACCACCTCAAGCTCAACCTTGACTAGACTGAGCTGCTCTTCCTCCCGGGAAAAGATTGTCCCACTCTTGACCTAACAATCAACATTGGCACCTCTGTTGTTTCCCCGACTCAGACTGCAAGGAATCTGGGTGTGACCCTAGATAACAACCTGTCCTTCACTGCAAACATCGCTGCTACAACCCGCTGCTGCAGATAAACGCTTTACAACATCAGGAGGATATGTCCCCAGCTGACCCAGAAAGCCACGCAGGTTCTGGTCCAGGCTCTCGTCATCTCACGCCTAGACTACTGCAACTCCCTCCTGGCTGGTCTACCTGCATGTGCCATCCGACCTCTGCAGCTCATCCAGAATGCAGCGGCTCGTCTGGTCTTCAACCTTCCTAAATTCTCCCACACCACGCCGCTCCTCCGCTCCCTTCACTGGCTTCCGGTAACTGCTAGAATCCACTTCAAGACAATGGTACTTGCGTACCATGCTGCGAATGGATCTGGCCCTTCCTACACCCAGAACATGGTTAACCATACACCCCAGCACGTGCACTCCGCTCTGCATCAACCAAACGACTCGCTGCACCCTCGCTGCGAAGGGGACCCAAGTTCCCATCAGCAAAAACACGTGGGTTTGCTATCCTGGCTCCAAAATGGTGGAATGAGCTCCCCATTGACATCAGGACAGCAGATAGCTTACACACCTTCCGGCGCAGACTGAAAACTCATCTCTTTCGACTCCACTTCGAGCGATAGATTTATTAACAAAGCACTTATATACTAATAAAGGACTGGCTTATCTAAAGCCAGTTGAGTAGCACTTGAAATGTTTTTGCTCTATGAAACCTGATGTACTTATATGATTCTGTTTTCTTCAAGTTTGTATTTTGTTGGTCGAACGCACTTATTGTAAGTCGCTTTGGATAAAAGCGTCAGCTAAATGTAATGTAATGATAACCGTGAAGTAGCTGAAATACACCCTGCGAGCCGTTTTCGAATCCCGCTCAATCCCCTGTATGTCAGAACATGCATAAATGTAAAGGTGGAGCTTATTTATTATTTTACCACACTTTTGGGTAGGTTGTGTATAAAATCAATGGATCATTTAAGTTCTTTACCATAATCATTCGTGAATCATTGTCTGTTTATATTATTGTACTTTGTAACATACTTTCTAAATCTTCAAAGTAACTCATGTTATCGAATCAATGAGGTTCAGAGTCAAATCTTTTCCTCTGAAATGTAGTGAAGTATTAAGGAGCATGCAAGTCAGTACATCATTGTACAGTACTTCTATAGATGTACTTAATATAGAATAGTACTTAGAATATAATATGACAAATATGTGAGGATTATTGTTATGTTGTGCATTTATTATTATAATTACAACTTTTAATAAATGTATTAAAACTTAAGAACAAAGTATTAAGTAAATATAACAATAATGAAAGTGAAATATGAAACAGAAACAGAAACATCCATACTTGTTTTATATGTATTTATATATTTAAAACAACAGTAATAATAACAACAACAATTCTTACAATATGTATAGTAAAGTGTAAAATAAAACTATACAATAAAAACAGTGCAAAATATAACAAAGTGAACAACTCACAACATTTGGTGATTTAAGGTGCATCCCCTCTCTTTCCCCCATACCCTCTTTGCTCCAGCACAGCCCTCCAGTCCTCATAAGACTGGGTCTCTGATTCTTTACAGTACCAATTGCCAAAGTACTGTAATGGCGCATTTCCACCATGGCGCGGAGCGCGGTTTAAGCGTGCCGTGTCGGGCCCGTATTTGGTTGTGTTTCCACTAGGCCTAGTTCCGGCCTGGGGCTACTTTTTCACCTTTTTTCTGGCCCGACAAAATCGTGGTTCTATCGGGGCCAACAACCAGGCTGAGTCGAGCTGAGTATGCTAAACTAGAGAGAGAATCGCTGGCAAGGGAGCTACAACTACAACAACATGAACATATTTGACCGTGATTTAATTGTAATACACGTTTCAAAATGATGCCGAAGTAACAACATACTGATACCGGTTAGTAAAAACCATGAATTAATGCTTTGACAAGTCTGCAGACAGACGGCAGGCGAAAAACCTTTAAAAATGCGTGATGCATCTTCTTATTACAGACACATGCATTTCCTAACATTCGGTCTATATGCTGTAAAATGTATTATCTCTTCGATTTACACACGGCATCTATTGCACGTCTGTCCGTCCTGGGAGAGGGATCCCTCCTCTGTTGCTCTCCCTGAGGTTTCTCCCATTTTCCCTTTAAACTGTGGGTTTTCTCTGGAAGTTTTTCCTTGTACGATGTGAGGGTCTAAGGACAGAGGGTCTAAGGACAGAGGGTGTCGTTTTTCTCATACTGATATTCTGTACAAACTGCTGTTGTATTTGCTGTAAAGTGTCTCTACTGTAGGGTATGTTTATTATATGTACAGCACTTTGGCTCAACCATAAATCGTTTAAAAATATGCTATATAAATAAAACTTGATTTGTTTTCTAAATGGAGCTTGGCTCAGCTAATATGCTCCGACCGTCCACACTCACAACAACGGCCTACAGACATAAATAAACCAGCGACTGTATTCGCCATGACACAGGCAGTCTGTGGTTTGTACTTGTTTAACTTTTGTCCAGTTTGTGAACAGATATGAAGAGCTGTGAGCTCTGAGTGCTAACAGCTAACGGCTGATGTTGTTTTTCTGGGGTGCTCATTGAAGATGACGTCACGGCTCCGCCTACACTGCGTTACTATAGTTACTGCCCCAGCTCGTAAACTGTAATGGAAGCGCAGCATTAAAGTGAGCTGGGCCTAACAAGGCCTAACAAAACCGTACTAAGTCAAGCGAGGCCTGCGGTGGAAATGCGTCATTCGTGGGCTAGTGGCTTCCTGTCTTTGTTGCAGTTTTTGCAAATGATGGCGTCTGTCTTTTTGACATACTTTCTTTTGCCTGATCCAGATTGCTCCCTCTCCTCTTTTGTTTCCCTGTACTGCTGTGTGGTGTACGGCACGTTACTCTGACCGGATGTTAGCGCCTGAGTAGCTGATGGCAATGGCATGGTGAGAAGCATCATCTGAGAACTTCCAGGCACTTGAGGAAGCCATGTATGGTGTTGAGAAGGGTGGAGTCGGTGCAAGGAAGGGAAGAGCATAGTATGGAGGTGGTGGGGGGACCTGTGAGATGGCCACTGGTTGGGATCTGTTCTGGAGCTTTGCCTCACCAGCAGTGTTTGGTGGCAGAACAAAGGTGTGAGGCTCAGCCAGACTGCCAGGAAACAGAGATGTCCCTTTCTGCATTGCCACAAGAAGCTTCTCAGGTCCTGCCATGGGAGCGTCAGGAGCGGG